CGCCTTCACCAATTAAAACAAAGTGAAAACTCAGAGAGGCTAGCACCGCTAGCTCAGCTGGTAAGAGCACAATTGGGAGAGGGGGTGAGAACACTCGCCTTCACCAAATAAAACAAGGCCAGGAACTCAGCTGGCTACGTAATAAACAAACTTCGGAGCACGGTCCAACCGACCACGCGGTTGGAGGCCTCCAGTAAACAAGAGCGGAGCGAACGCTACCGCTAACCAATAGCAAAATATAAGCAAAAAACCACTACTTACCAGTGTTAAATCACACACATAGTAGTCATAAACAACGTCGGAGCACAGTCCAGCCGACCACGCGGTTGGAGGTCTCCTAACAAGCGTGAGCGGAGCGAACGTTACCGCTAACCAACGGCGAAATATAAGGAAAACTACTCACCGGTGTTGAATCACACACATATTAGTCAGACGCTGTAATTTGGGAGAGGCGGAAACTGCCGTAGTTCCCAACGAAACAGCAGAAATACCTTTGAACAGGGTTAAACCGTCGCAGCCCTAGGAGGGTGAACACGCTACTCCCGCAGACGGGCAGTCGGGCTTCCGACGACGGTAAAAAGTTCAGAAAAGGTCCAAAGGGCTGAAGCCCTGAATTGAACCGCGCGCGAGAAGAAAATAGGAGCAGAGCAGCGGATGACGTCGGGCTATATAGCCTCTGATTGGTCATCCGTGTCACACCTGTGACTCCGTTGGTATTATTACTCGAATCAGCGCATGCGCGAAGGGAACATTCAGTGCTTTCAGCACCGCCCTCTGGCGGTCAGGAGGGATGAAATAGAACCCAAAATGCCTGTCCCAAAAAATTAGCATATCATGAAAAGGTTCTCTAAACAAGCTATTAACCTAACCATCTGAATCAACGACGTAACTCTAAACACCTGCAAAAGATTCCTGAGGCTTTTAAAAACTCCCAGCCTTGTTCATTACTCAAAACCACAATCATGGGTAAGACTGCCGACCTGACTGCTGTCCAGAAGGCCATCATTGACACCCTCAAGCAAGAGGATAAGACACAGAAAGAAATTGCTGAACGAATAGGCTGTTCCCAGAGTGCTGTATCAAGGCACCTCAGTGGGAAGTCTGTGGGAAGGGAAAAGTGTGGCAGAAAATGCTGCACAACGAGAAGAGGTGACCGGACCCTGAGGAGGATTGTGGAGAAGGGCCGATTCCAGACCTTGGGGGACCTGCGGAAGCAGTGGACTGTCTGGAGTAGAAACATCCAGAGCCACCGTGCACAGGCGTGTGCAGGAAATGGGCTACAGGTGCCGCATTCCTCAGGTCAAGCCACTTTTGAACAAGAGACTGCATCAGAAGCGCCTGACCTGGGACTGCTGCTGAATGGTACAAAGTTATGTTCTCTGATTACAGTAAATTTTGCATTTCCTTTGGAAATCAAGGTCCCAGAGTCTGGAGGAAGAGAGGAGACACAGAATTCACATTGCTTGAGGTCCAGTGTCAAGTTTCCACAGTCACTGGGGTGTCATGTCATCTGCTGGTGTTGGTCCACTGCGTTTTATCAAGGGCAGGGTCAATGCAGCTCGCTATCAGGAGATTTTGGAGCACTTCATGCTTCCATCTGCTGAAAAGCTTTACGGAGATGAAGATTTCATTTTTCAGCACGACCTGGCACCTGCTCACAGTGCCAAAACCACTGGTAAATGGTTTATTGACCATGGTATTACTGTGCTCAATTGGCCTGCCAACTCTCCTGACCTGAACCCCATAGAGAACCTGTGGGATATTGTGAAGAGAAAGTTGAGAGACGCAAGACCCAACACTCTGGATGAGCTTAAGGCCGCTATCGAAGCATCCTGGGCCTCCATAACACCTCAGCAGTGCCACAGGCTGATTGCCTCCATGCCACGCAACATTGAAGCAGTCATTCATGCAAAAGGATTCCCGACCAAGTATTGAGTGCATAACTGAACATGATTATTTGAAGGTTGGCGTTTTTTTGTATTAAAAACACTTGTCTTTCATTGGTGGGATGAAATATGCTAATTTTTTGGGACAGGCATTTTGGGTTTTCATGAGCTGTATGCCATAATCATCAGTATTAAAACTATTAAAGACCTGAAATATTTCAGTTGGTGTGCAATGAATCAGAAATATATGAAAGTTTCATTTTTATCATTACATTATGGAAAATAATGACCTTTATCACAATATGCTAATTTTTTGAGAAGGACCTGTGTGTGTGTGTATATATATATATATATATAGATGTGTGTGTAAACTGACCACCCCTTTATTTGAGGAAGCTATACTTTCTAGTTTTTATATGGATTAAATGAATAATTTCCCCAATTGACTGAGTTGGCTGAAGATTAATCTATGGTGGCCATGGGCACCAATGGCCTCCTCCTGGTGATGATAAACTTGCTTTCTCTACTCGCCAGGACCAGTCATTCTGCTCCACCTGGAACAAGCTAATAAGAATAACTACCTCCATTCTACCCACTTTGATATCTCGCACCATGAACGTTAAGGTTTACTTGTATTCCCTGTTCAGTTCCAGTCCAGAAAAACACTCATCTCCAAAATTACAAACAATCACTCAGCGATGCTGGGCGTTGACATACCGCTCGTTCTTTTTATTCACACCCTCTGTGGAGCTGTGGTAGCTCAGTGGTCAGGGAATCCTGAGGCTGAGTGTGTAGCCCAGGTTGCATTCGGATGTAAAATAATGGTCAAGTCTTTCACAAGAGTTTTCTCACTGTGGTGAGCCCTGAAAAAGGGAGCAGCTGAAAGACAAACATTATTATCCTCCATGATATAATTTGACACCTGCCTTGAAAATGAATAGTTGTGTTTTTTTTTGTTTTTTTGTTTTGCTCAGCTTGAGCTCCTTTAAGCTCCGGTCAACATGAACCGGTGATAAACCCAGACTGACTGAGCCATTTAAAAAAAATAAATCTGTATTTAAAAATAAAAGCCAAAGACTCTGGTTATAATGTTGAGTTTAAACTGTTTCTGCAGGAGAGCCAGGTGCTGCTGACGCTGACTAACCCGGTGGAGAACATCACTCACGTCACGCTGGCTTCTTGTGAGGAAGAAGATCCCGATGACATCAACAGCACCGCCAAGGTTCGTCACGTTTTTCATTCAACCAGGAGAAGACGAGCTGTTCATAAGTTATTAACATCAGTGGAGCAAACATTTTTGAAGTTGAACACAAACGCACAAAAATCCAACAAAATCAAGAAAACGACCAAAACAGACTTTTGATCAAATGGTATAATATTTTAAGATTGTTTAATACTTCTGGCTCAGCTTAACTGAGTTAGTTGACTAATTTTAAACTTTTTGAATAAACAAATAAATATTTCATCAGGTTCATTAATTCATTTTGAGTTTTATTGTACCAGGTAAATTTTCATTTACCAGTTAACACAAAATACTTGTTCATTTAGGAAGATTTAGGTTTTATTCTAACTCCTACTATGTGAATTCTGACAATACATGAGAAAAAATAAAATTTAAAAAAATGATTGCATTATTCAAATGATTTACATTTGAGCAAGCAAAAGTTATGAAATCGTCACTGTTGAAAAATATTACATTTAATTTTGTATTAAAAATAATTTGCATACATTTATTTTTAATCTGCTAATCACACAAAGCAGATTGACATGAATCATGACTCCAGCACAGCAGATGTTGGTTGAAATTAAAAGGTTATAAAGACGAATCATGATAAAATGACACTAAAGATGTTTGTTCTTCTCAGTCAACTGTGTCTGAAATCTGGACAGGTCCAAACAAAATGTGAAGGTTGTCAAACAGAAACAAGCTGGTTGACCATAGACGATATGGAAGCATTAAAAGAAGCCAAAAGTCTTGAAAACAGAAAATGCGCAACAAAACGAATGAGAAACAAGTGGGCAGAAACTGGCAGAACCTGGAGTCTGTGTGACTAAATGACTGGGATTTATGTCCAGAATAGTCAAACAAAACCATTGTTAATGCCTAAACAGAACAAGGAGACAGACTAAATGCATGCAGTCATGGACTGCGGGGGGAAGCGTCATGTCAGGTAAAGACACGGGGGAGGCAGTAATACAACTTCAACAGATGTTAAACCCTGATTGTCATTTTGGACATTTCTTATTCCATAAGTTGAAAGGGTGTTTGGTGATGATGTCTTCATTTTTCAAGATGATAATGCGTCTCGCCGCATGGTGAAGGATGTGAAAACCTTTCTTCAGTGTTAACAAAATAACCTGCAAATAGTCCAGATCTCAGTTCGGTTAAAAATCTCTGGTGGAAATTGAAGAAAACGGTAAATGACAGTTCTCCAACCTGCAAAGCTGATCTGGGAACAGCAGTGAGAGACGGTTAGAGGCAGATTTTTTTTTTAATTCCATTATTTTACCAGGAAGAAATCCATTGAGATCATTAATCTCTTTTACACGGATGTCCTGATGAAGAGTAGGCCTGTCACGATAACAAATTTTGCTGGGCGATTAATTGTCTCAGAAATTATTGTGATAAACGATAATATAGTTTGAAATTTGACAATAATTAGTAATTATTGTCAAATTTAAGAAGAAATGTTGGTGAATTTGTTTTGTATGTAGTACTTTTTTGACCACCATTTGGCAGTATAAGACTGGTTGAACTGAAGGATGGATTATAATTATTAACTTTTATTTAACCAGGCAAATCCCATTGAGATCACAGATCTCTTTTGCAAGGGAGGCCTGGGCCTGAAGGCAGCCTAACATGCATGTTTTTGATCACTAATAATAACTGCATTTATTTTCCTTAAAAACAAATCAAATACAGCTTGAAAACATAGTTGTGGATATTTAGCAGATGAGATACAAGTTAGTTTAAATAAATAATGTCCAGTCAAGAAAATATATTTGACTTGAGTAAATAACCTATTCTCCACTGAACTCACCAAGACCAGCGTTTCCTCTTTTCACTCCAAATGTGCTTTCTCTGGTAGTGAGGGAACGAGCAGCGTGTCTCTTTTTTTACCTTCTTTTTTTCTTCTTCTCCCGTGTCCTGTCCGGCATTGTGACACTTAGAATTATTGTCTGAGTGTCAAAGTGAAGCCCAACAGATTTACTTTCACAAGCAGAGCATTATAGCTGGCCTTAATGCTCCACTTGATATATAACTTAAATTTTATTAGAATTTGCTATGGGATTGTTTCAGATGTAATGGACATGGGGATGAAAAACAAAGAAGAAAACAAAGCAGAAAAGTGAGAGAAGGGTTAAAAGGTAAAGAAGGAGATAGGAATAGAGGAGAGAGAGAGGGATAAAGAGACCACAAATCAACATCATTGAAGTCTGCTTCTAGACCTGCGAAAGAAAAAAAAAACAAGACAAAACCGAGAAACCACAACAACAAACAACATATATAATGATACTTGTAACATCATTAGAAAGTATTTTATACAGTACATGGTAATACAAGATATATTTGATGGCCACCACAACCCAACTGAGTGTGTATCTGATAAACACCTGAATCTAAACACCTGTGTGAGCATGCTTATCACTATAAGGTTTCTCCATAAAAATGTTCAATAGTGGATGTGGGGACCCACAGACCCGTCCCCACAGGACATGATGGTAACACAGGGAAGACCGGAACCACAGACACACAGCGGCCCCCAAACCCAGAAATCCAGGAGTCCCCCAACAGGGACACCCGCACCTCCCAGAGAGAGAAGCAAAGGGAAGCCCCGGGCGATCCCCAGCCACCACAATGCAGAAACCCCAGGAGGTTGCAGCGACGAGTTCACAGGCCCCGCCGGCAACCCGCCTCTCCAGAGTAGATCCGGCCATGGACACTGAGCCCCGAGGTCATACCACCCCCCAACAGAGGCCTGGCAGAGCCAGGGCACCCAGACCCCGGCAGGCAGCCACCAGGGTGTGCTCGCACACACCCCACTACCCAGCCCCAGCCGGTGAGAGCCGCCAATGCACCGGCGGCAGGGGGGCCCACCACCGGAGGGGAGTACAACACACCAAATGGGGAGGGGCAAAGTTGATCCAAGAGAGGGGACCACCCAAAACCCAACCTGAGACATGAACAGGCACACAGAGACAGCGTTGGGCCGTCCATGCGCCCCACCAACCCGACAGCGACCGCAAGCCGGCCCCAGGCCGGGGGCCAGAGCAGCAGGGAACAACAGCCAAGGAAGGCCGGCCCAGCGCACCAATGCTTCCCTACAGCCCCACACCACAGACCTGGTGAGGCCCCAGCATGCCACCCATCATGCACCCCCCCCCCCACACACACACAGCACCCCCCACCGCAAATGTCACATCAGGCCGACCAGCCAGCACCCCGTCAAAGTGAAGCCAAGCCCCCGACCGCCGCCATGCACCACCAACGACCACACACACACAACCACATCAGACCCTCCGCCAGAACCCGGCAGCCACCCCAGCCAAAGGGCTGGCCATCGCAACCAGGAACCTTGATCAAAAGATCCAAACAACCCAGGGAGAACTGGAGCACCAGCCCCACCCTCAATCGCCCCCCAAGGCCCAATACCCACCCACAGCCCAGACCCCAACCAGGCAGCCTACACCCCTCCCTGCCCCTGACCCCAAATGTCAGACGGAGAACGAGGGTTTAAGGAAAACAGGAAGACCCAACTCCTCTCTCCTCCCACTCAAATAAGGTGTTGATGCATGTTGTTATATAGTGCGTTTAAAATGGGGGGATGAGGCGGCGACTGGCACAGACCCACCCCCTCCCCAGAGAGCAGGCAGTGCCCGTTCACTTCCCCAACCCTTGCCCAGAACCCTAAATGTCTACATGCTACATATGAGAGTGGGCACAGGTCCCGGGGGTGAGAATGATTACACATCCCACCCCCTATATGCCACCGTGTGCCCACTCCAGACCCTATATATGCATGTGTTGTGAGAATGTTATATGTGAGTGTCTAGGTTGTTTAATAAAATTGGGGCCCAGGTCTCCACGAACCACAGAGATGGAGGATCCTCCCCGCAGCTCAGTAGTGCACCTGAACCCCAAGGCCCTGCTTGAGTGGTGGTGTGATGGAGTGGGCGGAGGAAGACGTCGGGATGTGGAGGAACAACTGAGGTGGCAATGCCCTCCCAGGGGGCCAGCTCCCCCACTGACCCCAATAGGCACCCTCATTCTCTGAGATTCACCAGGGGAGGGAGGCTCCAGTGCATCCATCCAGGAGCAGGAGGCAGCCGCACCACCAGGGACCCAGGCCATGGACCGGCACATAGCCCCGAGGACCGACCAGAACCCGGGCCAGCGGCCCAACCTCCCCAGAGATCGTCCAGACCCCAACCCGATCCCCAGCTCAACACCCAGCCCCCCAACCAAAGAGGCCACCAAACTCCAGCGTGTCTCTAAGAAAAATGGGAGGGAGGCCCCTTGACATGACATGGGCTGTCTCTCTTTGATTCTCAAAATGGCGCACGCTCTGTGTGGTTTGAGCTCTTTAGCACAGCATTTTTCACACAAAGCTTTTAATAAAAAAAATCAGTAAAGTTCTCAGCCTTTTTTTTTTTTTTCCAGAGAAAAACAACTTTTTACACGAAGGCACGGGTTTCAACTGTGAATTTTGGAGCTTCGACAAGACGGAGGTTTTTTCCCTGAGGTCGCCCTGTTAGCTTAGCTCGTAGTTTAGCTTCTCACCTTAGCGACTTTTAACGATCCAAAAACGCGATTTTGGACGGTTAAAATGGATTTTAAAGAGAAAGGGAGGGGTCAGTGAAGAGCACCAGAGTTGAGCCTTTTGTCATCGAGTGTCTTCAGTAGAAAGAGAGAGACACGAAGACACGATAAAGCTGATAAATGAAAATGAAGTTGCTAATTTTCATTAATCATGCGATTAATTAATTTATTTTTTATTGCGACAGGCCTAATGAAGAGTACCGTTTAGTGCCCATCAGGCTTCTCAGGTTTTCTGTTTGAGGATCTAAAGTGATGAAATTGTTGGTCAGATTTGGTCAAGAGCCCCCAGCTAAAACAAAGCACCTTTATGACCCATTCTTCTTCATAAAAAGCTCAACCAGAACTTTCAGGTCTGCAGTTCTGCACGATCTGATGTTCAGACACCTGTAGGGCAATCAGACCCATACTGTACTCACCCAGCTGATTTATCAGCAGCTCTACACCACCTGTTATACTTTTATAAAGTATTTGTCTCAAAGCTCTGTTGTCACACTATAATACTACATTTATTCCTACGTGCAACTTTTTTTTTTCATGCAGATAATATAAGATTGGGCAACAGTTGCTACATAAATATATTCCAGAACACTTTGGATCTAATGGGAATAATGTGTTGCAAATTTGACATTTTCCAACTGGTTTTATATATTCAGATTTTATGAATTCTGTCTTTTAACAAACATATTTATAGTCATAATTTGTCTTGAAAGGATCCCAAACTAACAAGACCTATAAGCCTAAAGGTAAAATAAAATGCAGATCAAATATGGTGTTAAATATCACTTGAACTGCAGGTATGGTAACAACTTGTGCCATCAATAAGTCACAGATACAGTGAAATAAATAATTATTTGATCCCTTGCCGATTTTGTAAGTTTGCCCACTGACAAAGACATGAGCAGTCTATAATTCTAGGGGTACGTTAATTTTAACAGTGAGAGATAGAATATCAAAAACAAAATCTAGAAAATCACATTGTATAAATTGTATAAATTTATTTGCATTTTGCAGAGAGAAATAAGTATTTGATCCCCTACCAACCATTAAGAATTCTGGCTCCTACAGACCAGTTAGACGCTCCTAATCAACTCGTTACCTGTATTAAAGACAGCCGTCTTAAATTGTCACCTGCATAAAAGACTCCTGTCCACAGACTCAATTATTCAGTCTGCCTCTCACCTCTACAACATGGGCAAGACCAAAGAGCTGTCTAAGGATGTCAGGGACAACATCATAGACCCAAAACATACAGCCAAGGCAACAAAGGAGTGGCTCAAAAAGATGCACATGAAGGTCATGGAGTGGCCTAGCCAGTCTCCAGACCTTAATCCAATCAAAAACCTATGGAGGGAGCTGAAGCTCCGAGTTGCAAAGGGACAGCCTCAAAATCTTAATGATTTAGAGATGATCTGCAAAGAGGAGTGGACCAGAATTCCTCCTGACGTGTGTGCACACCTCATCATCATCTACAAAAAACATCTGACCTGTACGCTGACGCTGTACTTGCCAACAAGGGTTCTGCCACCAAGTATCAAGTCTTGTTTGCCAGAGGGATCAAATACTTGTTTCTTTCTGCAAAATGCAAATAAATGTATAAAATTTATACAATTTGATTTTCTAGAATTAATTTTTGATATTCTATCTCTGACTGTTAAACTTGACCTACCTTTAAAATTTTAGACTGCTTATGTCTTTGTCAGTGGGCAAACTTACAAAATCAGCACGGGATCAAATAATTATTTCCTTCACTGTATATAGAGAAAGAGAAATGGAGACTGAGATAGAGAGACCGATAAAGAGACAGATCTACATCTATCTAGAGGTAGATATAGAGGTAGAGCTGGATGGATGGACATTTTTCCAAATTTTCTACAATCTTCATGTTGACCTTGTTTTCCTGTTGGTACCAGCTGGGTTGCGTAAGGAGATCTGGTGCCACGGGAGCTTGCAAAATTAAAATGTCAAAAGATTTCTCGCTGAGTTGAAACCTGCCAGGAGTAGCACTATCAGGTCACAGTCCGTGTGGCGTCCTCATTTAAAAATTATCACTAAAGATGTGGAGGAACTTTTCTGTTATTTACAAAAAAAAAAAAAAAAAAGTTTCACTCTAATGTCCTCCTCTGTCAGTCGTGAAAGTTTCCATGCCTCAGACTGTCTGAACTCATTTCTGCTGCAGAGGGACTTTATTTATCCATTTAATATTTGTCACCATCTGAATTTTTTCATTTTTATTTATTTATTTGTTTTTATCTGTGTTAACAATCTGCTGTAACTAAAAAATAAAAGTGTAAAAACTTGGTTTTGACAAGTTATGGTGAGAAAAGTTAAGTTGTTTACCTTCTATAGATGTTTTTACATCAATAAAAACGTTTTTATTTTTCATTTATTCAAAAAAACATTTAAAAAGCAGTTGGTCCTTGATCACGTTTTGAATTTTGGCCTCTTGTGAAAACGAGCCGGACCCTAACGTGAGGTTTGAAAGTTGCTGTGAAACTGTTCAAAGGTCTGAAAGACAAGAAATCGCGCAGGAGTTTGTGGCACAAAGCCTTTTTTTTTCTTAAAAATATTGTTAAATCTCATAAAACTGTTGTTACGCCCCCACTGACACATCACTGAGACTTTCACTTGCTACCTAATAAGGTGGTCGTAATGATGTGGCAGATCTTTGTATATAGAACGTGTTTACATTAATATAATAATATGTTAAAGTTTATTAGTCAAGGGGCCTATGTAAAAACTCATAAAATCTAAAACTAGAGCAGACATGACCAAGAATGCCTTCGTCTCTGTGCATC